CATTAAGACCTACAGAGGTAGGATGTAGGTTAGGGACAGTGATTGCAAATGCCTAGCATTTGCAAAGCCTTGCCTTCTGTTTCTCCTACCCCCACACTTTGGGTAGGGATGGGGAAGTCCCTACAGTGTAATTGAAGTCTGAGTTCTAATTGAAATTTTACTTGACTATATGCCCAAGAACTTTGTTTTATTTACTCCACCTTAGTTTCACACTTGTTCTGGTTTTCAGTTACATCCTTCTGGCTTTTATAAAGCCATTTATGGGGTCTAAGAAGTTAATTGTTCTGTCAAAATGCATTGAGAATTTCTTTTCCCTTTCCACTGGTACAATCCAAGAAGACAGATCATTTTTTTCCCTTTTTTTCTTTTTCTTTCAGTCTTCACCCTGTTGTTTCTGTGCTTAATTGCATTGGAGAATGCACTTGTCATGAATTGCTATAGCAATATCATTGGGAGTGCCGCTACCACCCAGGGCTCCTGTAGGTTATGGTCCTTTTCACCTTGTTATGTGTGAAAACACACATTTTACAATGCCAACTTTGATATTAGATGATGTTTTCTTTGTTCATTTTCTAATAGGAAATAAAAATAGTGGCTTAGTATTCTTTGGAAATTTACATAGAGGGTTATCTGACAACTAAAGCAATCTAAGCTCTTCCCTTGTTTCCTTTGTTTCGGTAGTATTTCCAGTTACTGTCTTTTGTTATTAGATGACTTTCTAATTTATCACTTTTCCTTTTGGTTTTAGTGTACTTGATCTTTTTCACTGGTATGTTGATGGAACTTGTATGAAGGAAAGGGCTTTAGATTTCAGGCTTTGTATGTTTTGAGCTATCTAGAACTTGCTCATTGTGGAATTACATACATTGGTTATAGTTTCTTAGTCACTAATGTCTCAAAGTCATTTTTGTCGATGATTTCTTTCATTCCACATATACTTTCTATAATTTTCTTTTGAGTGATTTGAAACTAATTTATTGAGAAAGTCTATATTGATCGTACTTTTTGTTTCAGGTATCTAATGGATGTTTTTTTAAGTCTGATATAATTTTAAGTCTGATATCATAATTTTAATAATTAATGATAACTCGGAATTACATAATGCTTTGCATATACATGTGTGTGCATATATATGCAGTTTCTTTTTCAGACAGTCTGTCTATAGCCTAGGTGGGTCTCAGGACTTGAGGTTCTCTTGCCAAGTGTTTGGTTTGCAGGTATAAGCCACTGTACCTCTCCTTAAATACTTTTTTTTTCTTAAAAATGCTTTTCACGTTAGGATTATTCACAAAAGTTTTAATATATAATATTATGTAAGATATGCAGCGCCCTCCCCTTCATTTAACTGTGTATACTTCCAGAAGTTGGTAAGGTAGTTTACTTAGCTCTGAAGAGGTGACATAGTATTTATGCAACTTGATACTTGAGTAGCTGTGTGTATTTTCAAGGAACTTGTTGACTAGAAAGCTGTTTACCGGTGGTTAATTATCTATTTTATTACTCTTGTAAAAAATACCAGTTGTATATCATACATTTGTCATTTTATTTTTAAAGCAAATGGACAAAATACCAGTTTTGTAAAACTAGCTTAGGATAGTATAAAGTACTGTATTCCTCTATAAAACCCAAGAATATTTGTTAATTTCATGCAAGTGGAAAATTTGACAGTTGATTCTCCGTGGAACAATAACTTAAGATGATGAATGGATTTTATTTTATTTTTATTTTTTTGTTTTTTCAAGACTGGGTTTCTCTGTGTAGCTTTAGGAGCCTATCCTGGCACTCTGGAGATCAGGCTGGCCTAGAACTCACAGAGATCTGCCTGCCTCTGCCTCCTGAGTGCTGGGATTAAAGGCATGCGCCACCAACGCCCTTCGGATTTTATTTTTATGCAGATTTTAATATAAAATAGACTAAATTTAAGTTTTCTTAAAATGCTGAAAAACTGAAATAAAACATTGTTTTGTAATGTTAGGAAAGATTATTTATGTTTATAGTTTCAGTTCCAAGTCAAGATTGAACCAAAAGTGACTTCAATGCCTGATCCTTGATATAAACATTGAAGATCAGTTTTAAGTGTATTTTATTTTAGTGCAGGCCTGGAGATTTGTAGTGGGTTGAGTTTCTTCACCTTTATTTTCTTCTGCATTTATTTAAATCTCCTTCACTGGGTCTTTAGTTTATCTTATAAAATACAGATGTGATTGTACCAATCACTTAAACTTTTTATAGTTCTCATTTACTATCTGTAGGATAAAGTCCAAACAATTCAGCAGGATCTACAAAGCCATTTACAAGTCTTGATAGAAGTATCTGGTTGTATTCCCTATTCTTTTGTCTATGAATATAAGCCTTTCCTGGACCCTCTTGAACTCATAAGGTTTCTTTTTATTTTGTGGATTTTATTGTCTCTATACCTTCATTAATGCCTCTAACTGACCAAAGTAAAATTTTATGTTTTAATGACTTGATTATCTTTAGTGTGAACAGTCCTCACCCCTACCCCCCATCTTCTGTGTTCCCACATTGTATTTTGGTTATGTGGCTATTATATTCCTCTTTTCACATTATATTAGCATGTGTGTCTATGTTTGCTTTTGAATAGAGTTGTAACCATTTGTGGACAGATTTTGTTTTGCTTGTATATGCTTATTTCATCTTCACAAATATGCTCTTGTTTGCATTAAATCAAAGATGAACTGTAGTTCATTCTTTGAAATACACCTTTTAACTGAAAATTAAGTATTGGATTTCTTAATGTCTCACTATATTCTCAAAGAGTAGTATTCTCAAGTACTGTTCTAAAAAAGTTTCTGCAAAAATTAGTGTAAGTTAAAAACTAGGCTGACTTCTCAAACAGTACTCTTGGATAATACAAAAATTCCTTGATGCTCAGTCATACCTACATTGACATTGCTGGGCAAGCTATATTTATATATTTCCATTGTTCAGTGCCAGTTACTGTAAATCACAAACAGATCTGTAATAAATGAGGTAGTAATGGCTTTATTTTGATGGTAAGTAAGTCATATAGGGTCTTTTTTTTCCAGTGTCTTTACGACTGGTCTTAGTATACTTTGTATAACTTTACTCCTGCTCATTTAGTGAGGGGCAAGTATAACAGTTTGAGAGGGGATTGGGGTCTGGGGTAGGCACTTACCCTTAGTATTAAATACTCTGCTGTTTGATAATGATAATTATATGACTTGTCTCTTGTATTTCTTATCTGTGAAGTATAGATGTTAATAACAGTACCACAGGATTGCTTTAAGAGTGTGTAACTATGGTTCCGGACATATAAACGAAAAGCCCAATTTCAGATTTCCCTTAAAAAAAATCTGCTCTTTGACCTTGTCATGTAGGATTTTTTTTTTTTTTTTTGCATTGTTTGCCTGCATTGGCATTTTCCTAATGTTGCAGAATATATAAACCATGGGGATGATTCTTGTCTGTTACTGAGTATAAAACATAGATGCTTCATAGTCTACTGTGATTTTAGAGTAATAGGCAAAACCACATTCTTTTCTCTAGCATTTAGCTAGTAGTAAAACTTTGAGGACTTGACCTCTGCTGTATAGTCTCAGGACAATCACTTTTTCTCATTAAGTGTTGTTTTTGTTTGAGACAAGGCCTTACTAATAGCCTAGGCTGGCCTTGGATCCCAGATGACCCTCCATCTCCGCTTCCCCTGTTCTGGGATTATAGGTAGGAGCCTTAACATTACCCAGGGGCTATGTGGTTGTTTAAGTTTTGTCTCCCCTGCACCTTCCAGGAGTTCCTTTAAAAAAAGAAATATACATACATATATACATATACATATATATATGTATGTATATATGTATTATAGTATATAAATGTATATACATATATTTAGAGAGTGGTGGTTTACCCATGATAAAATTGTAGCTTTTTTAGATTTATGATATAACAATAATACAGATTTACTCTTTTACTCTTCTAATTCTGATAGCTTGGTAACAAACATCATGCTTTTCTCTCCTTCCCCCAATGGTACCTGATGTTCAGTTTGTTTATTTTTTTTCTTTTTCTTTTGGTTTGCTTTTCCTTTTAAAGTCTTGCTATAAAGCCTAGGCTTGCTTTAATAGCCCAAGGTGGTCGGTACCCCCACCCCCAAGTCAGGGTTTCTTTTAATAGCCCTGATTGTCCTGGAACTTGCTTTGTAGACCAGGCTGGCCCACAACTCTGCCTCTACTTACTGAGTACTGAGATTGAAGGTGTGTGCCACCACCACCTAGTGCCCAAGCAGGTCTTAAACTTGAGGCAGTCTCCTACTTCAGCCTCCTGAGTGTTGGCATTACAGTTGTGTTCCATCCTGTCTGGGTTTAAGCCCCCCCCCCACCGGGTTTCTCCTAGCTCTCTCTGTCCTGAGACTTACTCTGTAGACCAAGCTGGCCTTGAACCCAGAGATCTACTTGCCCCCTGCCTCCCGAATGCCAGTATTAAAGGTGTGTGTCACCATTACCTGGCTTACTTAAGTATTTTTAGTGGATTGAATACTCTTTGAACAATGTCCTGTTTATAATCTTGCTCACACCCCTCTGTTGTGTACAGTTTAAAGATTATTGATGAGTGATTAAAAGATCAATTTGTGTTGCTAGCAGCCCCCCTCCTCCCCCCAATTTCTCAGCTGCTTTGGCTGAGACTGAAAAATCACATGGATATATGAGTTCCAAGACAAGTCTGGCCAACATAGTGAGATCTTGCCCACCTCCACCAAAAAAAGTGTGGTTGTCAAATAATTTAGAATATTCTGATTAAGACACTTCCTCATTTAAATAGGATGTACTAAGATTATAGTAACTTACAGCTAGAAGTGAAAATTGCTATGGTATGTATATAGCATTGCTTCTGTATTTGAACTCTTGTTTTATTAAGATGCTTTCATTTTTACATAGTAGGATTTATACTAGGTGAGGTTTTTTGGGAATTGGATTAAGTTATCACAAATACATCACAACATTTTTGTTTTCTTCATCCAGACAGGTGATTTGGCTTCTGCACAGTTAGGAGGAGCACCAAACCGATGGGAGGTTTTGTCAGCCACACCTACAACTATAAAAGATGAAGCTGGTAATCTAGTACAGATTCCAGGTGCTGCTACATCAAGTGGGCAGTATGTCCTTCCCCTTCAGAATTTGCAGAATCAACAAATATTTTCAGTTGCGCCAGGATCAGATTCATCAAATGGTACAGTGTCCAATGTTCAGTATCAAGTAATACCACAGATTCAGTCAACAGATGCCCAGCAGGTTCAGATTGGCTTCACAGGCTCCTCAGATAATGGGGGTATAAATCAAGAAAACAGTCAAATTCAGATCATTCCTGGCTCTAATCAAACCTTACTTGCCTCTGGAACACCTCCTGCTAATATCCAGAATCTCATACCACAGACTGGTCAAGTCCAGGTTCAGGGAGTTGCAATTGGTGGTTCATCATTTCCTGGCCAAACTCAAGTAGTTGCTAATGTGCCTCTTGGTCTGCCAGGAAATATTACCTTTGTACCAATCAATAGTGTCGATCTAGATTCTTTGGGACTCTCGGGAAGTTCTCAGACAATGACTGCAGGCATTAATGCCGATGGACATTTGATAAACACAGGACAAGCTATGGATAGTTCAGACAATTCAGAAAGGACTGGTGAGCGGGTTTCTCCTGATGTTAATGAAACTAATGCTGATACAGATTTATTTGTGCCAACATCCTCTTCATCACAGTTGCCTGTTACGATAGATAGTACAGGTATATTACAACAAAATACAAATAGCTTGACTACTTCTAGTGGGCAAGTCCATTCTTCAGATCTTCAGGGAAATTATATTCAGTCGCCTGTTTCTGAAGAGACACAGGCTCAAAATATTCAGGTTTCTACAGCACAGCCTGTTGTACAACATCTACAACTTCAAGATTCTCAGCAGCCAACCAGTCAAGCCCAAATTGTGCAAGGTATTACACCACAGACAATCCATGGTGTGCAAGCCAGTGGTCAAAATATATCACAACAGGCTTTGCAAAACCTTCAGTTGCAGCTGAATCCTGGAACCTTTTTAATTCAGGCACAGACAGTGACCCCTTCTGGACAGATAACCTGGCAAACATTTCAAGTACAAGGGGTCCAGAACTTGCAGAATTTGCAGATACAGAATACTGCTGCCCAACAAATAACTTTGACGCCTGTTCAGACACTCACGCTTGGTCAAGTCGCAGCAGGTGGAGCCTTGACTTCAACTCCAGTTAGTCTAAGCACTGGTCAGTTGCCAAATCTACAGACAGTTACAGTAAATTCTATAGATTCTACTGGTATACAGCTACATCCAGGAGAGAATGCTGACAGTCCTGCAGGTGAGTCTTAATGCTATGTCATAAAAAGTACAATGATAATAAACAGGAAAACTTTGCTTTAGTTGTTTATCAGCATCTGACATTCATTAAAAGTGCTACATCCTTGTATTTATATGTAAGGAGGCATCATTGTATCTTCCAAATTGTTCATTTTGAAACTTTGTAATATTTGAAGTGAAAGATTTTCTATTGTACTAGTAACATTTTTTTTTCCTACAACAGGTACATATTTATTTTGGCATCTGGTTGGTATTATCAGACATCATAGGTTTTTGTTTTTTGTTTTTTGTTTTTTTTTTTTTGGCAGGAGAGTGTCTAAATTGTTCTTGGTATGGGATGAGTTTGACTTTTTTTTTTAGGGGCGGGGTGAGGGTGGGGTTGATTTAGTGTATCCCAAGGCTGGCCTGGAACTTGCTATAGTGTATAGTGTATACCAAGCTGGCTTTGAACTCACAGGGATCTGCCACTTTCTGTTTCCCCAGTGCTGTGATTCAAGATGTGTGCCACCATGCCTGGCTGAGTTAAACATTGTATATATGGTATTTGGGTGGAGTATTAGGTTGGCATAATAAAACAAGGTGCTGGAAGTTAAGAATACTTAATTGTCTCAGCTACTAGATATGTGATTCTGGCTATTTTTTCCTGCAAATTCAGTTTTTTCATTGTATAAAATGAGATGTTAGACTAGGAAACTATGTGGATACTGGCCATACCTAATATTTTGAGTTTTGTGATAGTGCTATTAAAATTGGCTGAGTTAGAAATAGCTACTAAATAAATATATACAGTAGATGTTTTAAGTCTACTCATTGAATATTTTGTAGGCATGATTAAATAATGAAGCTTAAAATGTAGCATCATTGTTATTGATAGCATTGAATATTTTCATTTTGCACTTCTATAACTTTAATTCTTCTAACTCACATTTACATTTCTGCGGAGATTATACAGTTAAAACTTTACAGTCTGTCTGATTCTAAAGTCTTAAATTGGGTTACAGAATTGAAGTAATTGAAGTGACTTCCATCATCACTTTTTAAAAAAATGTACCAATTTTTACTGTTCATTTGTTTTGTTTTTTAAGGCAGGGTTTCTCTGTGTAGCCCTGGCTGGCCTAGAACTAGCTCTATAGGCCAGGCAGCTTGAAACTCAGAGATCTGCCTTTCTCCCCATTTTCTCTTCTTCCTGTTCTTAGGAATTTGAGATATATGTCTAGAAAGGTGGGGCTGTCATTGAGTCTCACATTTGCATTTGGAAATTATTGTACCTTGGGTTTCTGAAACTGATTTAGAATAGACTTTTGGTTTTTCGAGACAGAGTTTCTCTATAGCTCTGGCTGTTCTGGAACTCCCTCTGTAGACCAGGCTGGCCTCAAACTCACAGAGATATATCTACCAGCCTCTGCTTCTTGAGTGCTGAGGTTAAAGGTGTACACCACCACTGGACTTCGAATAGGGCTTTTCAATGTTTGATCTGTAGGCCTCTAGAGAGTCTGAGGTGTGTCCGTGTCCGTGTCCGTGTCCGTGTCCGTGTCCGTGTCCGTGTCCGTGTCCGTGTCCGTGTCCGTGTCCGTGTCCGTGTCCGTGTCCGTGTCCGTGTCCGTGTCCGTGTCCGTGTCCGTGTCCCTTTATATACCTGGCTGGCCTCAGACTCACAAAGATCCACTTGCCTCTGCCTCCCAAGTGCTGGGATTAAAGATGTGGGCCACTACCTGGCTATGAGGATCAGTTCTGATCCCAGCTTCTTGGGTAGCTCACAAACGGCTGTAACTTCAGATCCTAAGCCTGGATCTTAAACATTTTCCTGGCCCCTTGCATACTCCTGTGCGGAATATGCACACACATGCACGGGCACTCACAGGAGCATACATTAAAAAAGAAAAACCCTTTAAACTGTGAAAAGTATTTGTATTCTTCATGATTACGTACTTCTAAAGAAAAATTACAGTTTTACTGAAAACCTACTTGATAAGTCAGTAAAAACATTTACAAAACTTGACTCTTACATGTTGTATGACTCTAAAAAGTTGTAACTTTTTAAAGAAACTATGTTGTGTGTAAATGCAGGTCATTTATGTGTATGCCATTGTGCACATTGGTTCAGAAAGAGGTGGTTCTCTTCTTGTGGGAACGGGGATCAAACTCAGGTGCTTAAAAATCATCTCAAGTGCTTAAAAATAATAGTTTTATTGAAGTATAGTCCAAATACAAAATTTGTCTTGTAAAGTGTACAATTCAATAGTTTTCAATGTAGTAAGATTTGTGCAACTATAATCTGCCTACTTTTACAGCATTTTCTTCACCCCAAGCAACCCATATCTAATTTCTTGTCAGCCACTTCTCATATTTACCGTACCTACTTTCTGTCTCTTTTAATTTGCTTTTCATTTCATTAGTGACCTATTGTGTCTTGCTTTCATATAATGGTATTTTCAAGGTTCAACCATGTTTTAGATGTATCAGTACCTTATTTCATTTTATGACTGAATAATACCCCATGGAGGGATATATTAAAACTTGTCTGTTGGTAGACATTGTGTTACTGCTTATTTGGTTACTATGAATCATGCTGTTATGAGCATTTGTGTGTGTCTGTGTCTCTGTGTGTTTGCCTGCCTGTGCATGTGTGTGTGAGAGAGAACATGTGCAAGCATACTGTTTTATGCACGAGGGCTCAGTTTCTCTGCATATCCATCAGTACTTACTATTGACTACTTTTTTCATTTTGACATCTTAGTTGGGTGAAAAGATAATTCAGTGTGTTTAGGTATTTTTCTTACATGTATACCTGGGCACTGTGTGCATGTCTGGTGCCCATAGAGGCCAGAAAAGGACATTGGCTTTTTGGAGTTGGGAGATACAGATGGTTGTGAGCTACCAGATGGGTGCTGGAATCTAATTTGGGTCCTCTGGAAAAACAGCCAGTACTCTTAACCTCTGAGCAATTTCTTCATCCTCAAAATTAGCTTTTGAGACTGCATATATGAAGTGATACCTTTTTGCAAAAATAGAAGTGAGCTTGTCACATCTGACTGGCAAATATTTGTCAGTAGTAAAATTGAGGATTTCCAGAAGAAATTGGAATTTTTTTCTATAGCTCAGATTTACTGTATAAGCTTATATTTTTTCTGGTGCTATGGTGATAATGATAAAGATTTTTAAAAATATAATCGGATGTCCGACATTTGGAAGTCTCTAGGAAAACTGGGTGGACCAGTGGTGTTTTTACATGAACAGTTTATAGTGTTAGAAACCATTTAAACTGCAAGATAGATCAGTAGAGCCTGGAAAGCTTACTGATACAGTTAAAGATTCTACTTTAAAACTGACCTTTAAGAGGCTGCTGTGTTTGTGATGTGTTTAATACCAGCACTACCGGAGGCAGAGCTTGAGAATCTGAGTTTGAGGCCAGCCTGGTCTACAGAATGAGTTCCAGGACAGCCAAGGCTACACAGAGAAACCTTTGAAAAACAAAAACAAAAACAAAAAAAAACCCAAAAATAGGAAAGAAAGAGACTGCCACTTGTTAAGTTTGGAGTAGTATCAAAGAATACCTACAGTTAGCTGGAAGGCTCTTTTAAGTTATTCCTTCCTGTCCCAGCTACATATCTTTGTGAGGTTATTCTTCATATGCCACATATAACAAGCAATTGAATGTAGAATCTGATCTGAGATTCTGTCTTTTCCTCAAGCATTCAAGGATTTGCAAAAATGTAAAGGTTGTCCTGGCTGTTAATGGGTTTTGCTGTGTAGAACAAACAGGCTGGGCTTTAATTTGCATCATTTGCCTCTGTCTGTTAAGTGGTGGGATTACTCTTATGCCCCGATGTGCCTGGCTTGTTTTCTCTTGAAAAAGATAAAGTGTTGATTTGTATTATTTGATAATGTATTGTATGATGTATTTGTTTGTTTGTTTGATGCTGGGGATTAAGCCTGGGGCCTGACACATGCAGGTACTCTTAAGATTTATTGTTAAGTTTTATGTATTCATACCACCCCCCCGCGTGTGTGTGTGTGTGTGTGTGTGTGTGTGTGTGTGTGTGTGTGTGTGTGTGTGAGGGAGAGCGCAGCCTGGGCTACAGAGAGAGAGAGAGAGAGAGAGAGAGAGAGAGAGAGAGAGAGATTATGGATATCCTAATTTGAACAAAATGTTTTTGTGAACTATGGTCACATTTAAAGAGGATAAAAAGAGAGTCCTGGGCTGGGGTTGTGGCTCAGTGCTTAGCACACAACAGGCTTTGGATTTAATCCCTTTATGGTGAGAATTACTTTTGAAAGACATCTCGGAAGATACAAGCTGAAACATTTGAAATTTCTGGAATGTTCTAAAAGCATTTAGAAGTTTCTTTTCTTTTAGAAACTTATTTTTGAAGATTTTATAAGGTTAGTGTTGTACAGTGCTAAAATTGTTAGGAAAACTTACTGGAAATTTTATGATTTTGTTTTGAGACAAATCTCATTCTAAGGTAGATAGGCACCAAACTTGCATAAGTCTTCCTTAGCCTCTCAGGTCTTGGGCCTGAGACATTATATCCATCATGCAGGACACATACTTTGGATTTGTATTGATTGTGAAACTAGGTTGGAATACATTAAATGATTCCATGAAGTTAACCTTCAGATATTATCAAATACACTGGTTTAAATACAAGGTGATAGGGTTTTTAAGGCAGTGATTTGTTTTTTTGATGGGTATTCCAGCACTACTAATAAAAACTAAGACACTGTCATTTGGGAATAGAAGTGTTTTCTTGTGTGTATAGTTGAGTAGGTGTGGCTGTAGAGACTGATTTTATGATAAGGCCCACCTTGCCTGTTTTACTTTGTTTTGAGACAGTCTTTCTGTGGATCTGGTGCCCATTGTTTGGTTAGAATGGGTGGTCAGCAAGCTGCAGGGATGATCTTACTGTCATTACCCACCCCCTTTTCCCAGGGTCACAGCCACATAGGACCATGTTTGGCTCCCCCCCCTTTTTTTTTTTTACATGGGGGATCTGAACT